ACAGAGCCTGGGTCACAGGTCCTGAATCAATGGAAGTCTTACTATCCTGCCCCTTAGATGCCACCTCTGTGACCCCCTCCTCTGACCCACCCCCTCCCACCTGTCTGTACTGTGTATACCCTGCTCTCCCTTCCCTCTCCTCATGTGGTTTCTTTCCCTCCCCTCAGTCTCCGGGATTCTCCCCAGTGGGTTTCTCTGGCCTTGGTCTGGTTTAACTCACCACCTGCTCCCACCCTCTCAGCCCCGGCCCGGGAAGTCAATGTCCACAGAATCTCAGCCAGGTCAGAGGAGAAATGAAGGGGATATGGGACATATGGGCAGATGAGGGCACAACCCTTCTCAAGCCCTGCTCCCACCTTCTCCTGCCTCCTCGGTGCCTGTGAGACCTGGGCTGCAGGTGTGTCGGAGTCTCTGGGATCCCCTCCCCCACGTGAGACCCAGGAGTCGCTCTCAGGAAGAGACAGGGAAGCGCAGTGTCTTGTGGCTGCGATTCATCTGCAGTGACATGGGCAGAGGATGGACTGAGTAGAGATGTTCACAAACATCCTTGGTTGCATTTCATTTTCAATCAAAAATAGAAGTCTATTTGTCTCCAAGCTCACCAAGTTGCATCCTTTGGATATATACAGCTTTGTATGTCCATTGTCCCTCAGTGAAGTGGGTTTTAAAAGCCTACCGTCCGACAGGGACACCGGCAACACTCAGCCTGAGTTGGAGTCGTTTCTGGTGAAGCAGTTTCTAGTCATGTTTTCATCGCTGTCGCAGACACTGGCTTCAATGTGCTGAAGGCAGCGCCGCTACCGTCCGACAGGGACACCGGCAACACTCAGCCTCGTTTCTGGTGAAGCAGTTTCTAGTCATGTTTTCATCGCTGTCGCAGACACTGGCTTCAATGTGCTGAAGGCAGCGCCGCTGGTTACTTATTAGGCCTTCTGCCTGCCCCCAAGGTGCCTTTTCCTTAAATAAAGTGTTTTACTTCCAAAAAATTATTTTTATTGATGAGAGAGGTAGAGAGAGAGAGAGAGAGAGAGAGAGAGAGAGAGAGAGAAGAGACACATAGATTGTTTGCCTCCTGGGTACACGGGTCCGGGATTGAACCTGAAACCCAGGTAGGCGTGCTTGGCTAGGATTCAAACCAAGACCCTTCCTTACCTGGGTGGCTACTGTAAGCACTAAGCAAAACTGGTCAGGGCGAAGCCTATATAGTTTCATTAAGCAATGTCACCCCAAATCATGAGATTTAAAAAATGTTATCTATGTCAGCATGTGTTAAAAGTTCATTCCTGCCCTGGCTGGTTTGGCTCAGTGGATAGAGCGTCGGCCTGCAGACTGAAAGGTCCCAGGTTCGATTCTGGTCCAGGGCATATACCTTGGTTGCGGGCACATCCCCGGTGGGAGGTGTGCAGGAGGCGGTTAATAGGTGTCTCTCTCATCGATGTTTCTGGCTCTCTATCCCTCTCCCTTCCTCTCTGTAAAAGGTCAATAAAATATATATTTTTTAAAAAGTTAATTCCTGTTTATGACTGAGCAATATTTCATTGTCTTGATATCCCAAGTTGTCTATCCATCCATCAGTTTATGGACAGTTGGGTCGTGTCCACCTTTTGACTATTGTTAGTTGGGCTGCTATGAACATTTGTGCACAAGTTTTTATTTCAGCCCTTGTTTTCCATTCTCTTGGGCTAGATTTTACTTTTTATATATAAATAGAAGATCATTATACAAAATTCGTAGTAACTCCTGAATATCAAATAATCCTTGGCCCAATTTTTAATGTCTCAGATATTCACAAAGATGTCTTTTTTAAAAAATATATATTTTATTGATTTTTTACAGAGAGGAAGGGAGAGGGATAGAGAGTTAGAAACATCAATGAGAGAGAAACATCGATCCATTGCCTCCTGCACACTCCCCACTGGGGATGTGCCCGAAACCAAGGTACATGCCCTTGACCAGAATCGAACCCAGGACCCTTGAGTCCGCAGGCCAATGCTCTATCCACTGAGCCAAACCGGTTAGGGTACAAAGATGTCTTTTTATAATTGGTTTGGTTGGGTGTGATCTCAAATGTTGCAGAACACCGGAGAAAAACCAAGCCATGCTTAGGGAAAGGGAATTACATTTTATTATTAAATTCCTTGTAGACCCAGAGAAAAATGTGTCTTTCAAATTCTGGGCCCCCCACATGGAGGAAGCTCTCTCTATTTATACCTTTTCTAGTCCTTTGTCTCCCAAATTTGGAATGAGACTTCCAGACCTTCTGAGAAAGAAGGCCTGCGTGCTGGGAAGGGGCCATGAGACCCTATCTCAAGGCCTGGCCTGGCTCCAGCACTGACAACTCTGTCTGGGGCATAGTTTACGGCCTCTTTGGAATGGGAGTAGTCTTGTTTTCCCTATTTTTTAAGCAAGCAAGCATTTACAGAAGCCATACTATCAGGGTTAAAATTTCAAACAGCAGCTTTTATATAAGATGGGTGCTTCAAAAGGAGCTGGATGCATCTCATTCAGTCCAGATGTTCTTCAATGTCTTTACACTGCCCACCTGGCCTCAGCTTCCTTTGTAGTTTATTCTGTTATTTAGTAAGTAGAGCCCAGCTACATAATCTTTACTCCCTGGAATGGAGATAAGAAATGCCCTAACCTTCGGAATAGAAATTGACAGGATTAAAATCAACTGGTATAAATACAGATGTAACAAGACAATAGAAGACAGAACCTGGCTGGAGAACCTAGCGAGAGAATATGGCAAGAGAACCTGGACAGAACCTGGCTGGGAATCCTGGCTAGAACCAGGCGAGAGAACCCAACCATGCTGATCAACTGAACACTGCCTCTGTCATTCCTTCTTCGCTGACTCTGTCCACACCTATGGGAACCCCTGGACCTGAGGGGGCCGGACCCCAGCAGAGGCCCGGTGCACGAATTTGTGCACCAGTGGGGTCTCTCGGACTGGCCTGCAGGATCGGGTCAAAACCGGTTCTCCAACATCCCCCAAGGTGTCTGGATTGTGAGAGGGTGCAGGCCAGGCCAAGGGACCGCACTGGTGCACGATCAGGGCCAGGGAGGGACATGGGAGGTTGGCCAGCAGCAAGAGGTTTGGAGGGGGGCACCGTGGAGAGCTCCAGGGAGTATCCAGTCCAGATCAGCCTGACCCAAATAGCAAGCTAACCTACCAGTCAGAGCATCTGCCCCCAGTGGTCAGTGCACATCATAGCGACTGGTTGACCGGTCGACTCTGCCCCCTGGTGGTCAGTGTACATCATAGCAAGCGGTTGGGTGGCCTTAGCATATCATAAGCATATTACAATTTGGTTGGTTGAATGGGTGACGGGATGACTGGATACTTAGCATATTAGGCTTTTATTATATAGGATACCTGTCTCAGGAGGTTGTTATCCTGCCTGGGTGTAAAGCTCTCCAACAGCCCTACATTCAGAGGGTCTTGACCTTGGCCACATGTGGAATCACCCAGGGAGAGAGCTAAACACTCTCAAAGCTCAGGCCACATGCAGGCTAGTTAATTCAGAACTGTCCGTCATAGTGTCAGCCTCCTTCGTTTTTGTAAAATAGACTTTCTTTTTTGAGAGCAGTTTTATATTCATGGAAAAATGGAGCAGAAAGTCAGAGATTTCCCATGTACCCCCACATGCACAGCCTCCCCATTGTCAACATCCACACAAGCATGGGCCATTGGGGACGATCCATGGAGTGACACGGACACCTCAGTATCACTCCCAGTCCACAATATTCATTCAGGTTCACTATGGGAGCTTTACCTTCTATGGGTTTGGACAAATATGTAAAACGATCAGAAAACCATAAAATGGCAAGCACACATAACTAGCAATAATCCCTTTAAATATAAATGGATGACATGCTCCAATTAAAAGACAAACAGAGCCCTGCTGGTGTGGCTCAGTAGGTGAGAGGTCGTGTCATGCACGGGAAAGCTGAGGGCTCCGTTCTGGGTCAAGGGATTCTGGGTCAAGGGCACATACCTGATTGCAGGTTCTATCCCTGGCTCTGGTCAGGGTGCTTGTGGGAGGCAACCAATCCATGTTTCTCTCACATCATTGTTTCTCTCTCTCTCTCTCTCTCTCTCTCATCAATAAATAACAAAATTACTTTAAAAAATTCTTGAGGAGTTTTAAAATGGCAGTAGAGCAAGGGGATGCTGCAAGAACATGCCCTCAGGAACAAACTGGAATTACAACTAAAATACAGAAAAAATTTCTGCATAATCAATGGAACCCTGACACCCAAGGACTGAAAGTGGAGACTGCAGAGATTGGTAGGCAGTGCGGAGGGGCGCAAGGGCTGGCCAGGTGCCCACAGGCAGCAACTGAAGCTCCGGAGATATCTCAGCTGTGGGGAGTTGCAACTGAGAACTCTTGGATCTAATCCCCAAGCTGGGGCCCCCTGCCAGAGCACCACAACTGAGATGAGTACCTACATAACTCCTGGCTGTGAAAAGCAGCGGTGTTGCTATGTGACAGGGAGAGATGGCTGGAGATTCAGGCACCCTCTTAAAGGGCCAATGTACAAAACTCCACCTTGTGCTGTGGCAGAGAGGGCGGAGTGGACTGGAGCTGTGTGAGCAGAACCCAGGACTAGGGACTCGGGGGTTAGAGCTCAGAAGGCAGAAACCCCCAGTTTCCTCTACTGAGCCATTCCCTCACACAGCTAGGAGCATCTTTCCCACACAGGCAGTTGCC